TCAAATATTATTAACTTTGAAACTTCTATCTTTACTAACATTTTTATATTTAATTAATTAGCGAAATGCTTTTAAACAAAGAAATAGTTACTGTTAACGTTTTAATTTAAAGTATAGATGGAAATTGTATAAATTTTTATTTATAGTATTTAAATGTATATAAAATTATATATATAAATTATATATAAAAATTATATATAAAATATATATAAAATATATATATAAAATATATATATAATTAATAAATAAAATAATAAGATTTTTTTATAATTAATCTTACTTATATTTTAAATATTTAAATTTTACTTTTAAGCAATTAAGTAACAAGTTTTACTATTTTTGTTTTATTTGTAAATGCAATCTTTCTTGCTTAAATTTTGATCTAAAGTTTGTTGCAAATACTCTTTACTATCAGTGAAAAAGAATGAAAACTACATCTTGGTAAAACACAATAAAAAACTGTAAGACAAAATGTTGTCCGGGTGAAGATATAAATGAAAGCAAACAACTCAGTTTTTCTTTTATTTTAAAGAAAAGCATTCATATAAAATTGAGCGAAAAAGTTTTTTGCTCAAGTAACAACATTCTGGTTTTTTTACAGATGGTCAAAGTTACCCTTGATAGGTAACCCTGATAGGTTTATACTCTTTTGGGGTAACTTTGGCCAAGTAAATAGTATTTGTGTTAAAGTAATCTAATTGTTATTTTTATAACTAGAATATTTTTTTGAAGCATGTTGTCCAAATAATTTATTTTGAAAAACAGTTTTTAGCATGAATGTATTTTAGGATTTTAAAAAAAGTATATTTTCTTTTTAAACTATTTGTTGTTGTTGTTGTTGTTGTTGCTTAATCTAATTTTTATTAACTTAACAACAAAATTAAAATTTATAGACTCTTAGTTTTAAATATAATTGCAATTTAATAAAATTATATAATAGTTTAAGAAATTACTACATTGCAGTTTGCTTGTGTTGTTTATATTTACTTTTGTTTAAAGCATAATGACTCAAAAATAAATAAAAAAGCATAGTGTTGGAAAACCTGCATACAACACTTGTTCTAATACCATTCTTTTGAAAGAATGTATGGGTGCAACTAATGAAGATATGTTTATTCGCCAAGCTTAAAAAAGGTTTAGTATACCAAGAAGCACTATACATAATAAAATAAAGTCAAAGCATAAATGCATTAGTGCACCAACTATATATACTTATGATGAGGAGCAGTTATTTTCATCTAGAATCAAGGTTATGTGTGATTAAGGATTTCCAGCTGGTTATTTAAAATTGCAAAGTTGTACTGTAAAAATAATAAAAACAATGTTCCTGGTCTGAATGTTGGGTCTCAAGTTTTATGAAATGTTCACAGTTAACCCATAAAGTTGCATTAAAAGAAAACGTGCAGCTATAAATAAAGAGCAATAAAAAATTTATTTTGATAATATTAGACTTGAGCTTGAAGGAATTCCACCTTGCAACATTTAGAATTATGATGAAACAAATTGTGTGACAACCCTGGAAATAAAAAAGTTGTTATGAAACGTGGAACTAAGTACCCTGAGAGAATAATGAATAGCAGTAAGGCTTGTTTCTCAGTAATGTTTTGTGGAAATGGTGTTGGAGAAATTCTTCTACCATACACTGCTTTTAAAAGCACACATTTATATGATTTATGGGTAAAACATGGTCCAACAAATTCACGCTTTAACAAAACCTAATCTGGCTGGTTTGATAAAGTTACTTTTAAGGACTGTTTTTTTTTAACATTATTGCCATGGGTTAAGAAACAAACTGGAAAAAAAGTATTAATAGGTGACAATCTCACTTCCCATTTAAGTCATAAAGTTATTCTTGTGAAAAACATAACATTAAATTCATATGCTTTTTACCCAATTCAACCCATTTACTTCAACCTCTTGATGTTGCATTCTTTGCACCATTAAAAAAAGCATAGAGAAGTATACTTCTGGATTAGAAACTTACTTCTCGTGGTAAAAAATTTGCACCATTACCAAAAGAAGATTTCTCTAAGTTGCTGAATGATTTAATGACATCCATTAATGAATGTTTGAGAAAAAAACTTAAGTTGATTTAGAGCTTGTGGTTTGGTGCCATTTAATCCTTATGCTGTGTAAATCAAATTACCGTGAGTTCTCGTAAAGCTTTAGACCAGAGCCTTTTACACATGTTAAATGAGAAAAAAATAAATGTGGTGATAAGAAAGATGTTACACAAAGTAAAAGTAAGATTAAAAAATATATATACAAAACTTAAAATTGAACTAGGAAAATCTATTTCTGTAGAATATGATAGTGAAACAGAAACAGCATCTAAAGGTGAATCAGTCTCTAATGAATTTATGATAGATTACTGAAGAGACTTTTAAACTTTTTTAAAAAAAAAATAGAGTTTATGTTACAAATTGTTTGTTTATTTTTTAGTATTATCTTATTTTTTGCTTTTTCTGACATTTTATAAAAATATTAGTAAGTTTTTTTAATCATTGGGTTAAAAAATAATAAAAAAAATTAAATTATTTCAGCTAATATATTTCTTTAATACTGTTTATATTTATTTTTATTGTCCCTTTTTTAATATCTTGACATATTTTAGGTACACCTTTTTGAAATAAATACTAACTATAAGTTTAAATTACATTAAATGGGGTTAACACTTAATTTACATCGGTGCTTAAAAATCAATTTACTATGACAAAGTTACCCCATTGCCGGGTAACATTGACCACCTTATTATTTCCATAAAATCTTGGATTTGGGGAATACAATGAATACACCATTTTACTAATTAAATGATATTAATAATGCACAACTAATTAAAATAGTTTTGGGAAAATGTTCCTTTTTTTTTAAATAGTCATCTTTATCAAAATTGGTACAAACATACCCCGGTTTACTGTATGTATTTTCTTTAGTCTTTAAATTAAAAAATTATAGATTAAAGTTAATATACTCAAAATATATAGTTAATATACTCAAAATATAACAATTTTTTTTGCAAGAATGTAAGAAAAAAATATATATAAATATAAAATTTTTTATAATAATTTTTTTCTTTCGTCTTTAAATAAAAAAATTGTCAATTGAAGTTAACTAATTAAATTATTAACAAATTAAAATTAAATTATCAAATAAAGGGATAGTTTTGTTCATTTTTTTTTTTTTTCATCTTCATTTTTCCTCATTTTTTTTCTGATATTGGATTTCTGATAAAAGAACAATTTAATTATTTTTCTTTTGTTTATATTACTATGAAGAATTGTAAAGTTTTTTTTTTTTTTTTTTTAATCTTTTAAATGTTAAAAAAATAGTTAGAAGTTGTTTAAAAAGTTTATTTAAAAAGGTTTTAATTAATATAATTAAGAAAAAACATATTTTTTTTGTTCCTAAGTCAGTTGTCATTTTAGTTAAATGAGTTTCCTCTCCAAAAAAAATAAGTGTTATTAATTTTTTTTTTAAATACCACTAATGCATCATGATGTTTTTTATAAAAACAAAATTGTTTATTTACATTTTTTTGTCGATTATTACTTTTTCTTTTTTTTTACTATTAATATAATTATATATTATGCGGGAACAAAGCAGACAAGACACTACTAGTTTAGTTTTACATTCTAAAAACACTCTTTTGTTTTAGTTATTTATTACTAAGCTATTTTTTTTAGTTATTTATTACTAAGCTATTTATTTTTAACTTCTATTTAGTTATAAAAAACTGTTGTTTTTTTTCAAAGTTGTAATTAATTTTATTTAATAGTTGACTAGAAAAAAAAGAAAAAATTTCTAACCTAAATATTTTTTATAAGTGATCTTGTTTATGGACTTTGTCGCGGTATTGACTATGAACCTGTCAGGCCAAGACAGTTGCCAAAATCAGTTGGTTGTAGTAAGAATTTCAATGGCAAATTGACTTTATCAACAACAGCTGATGTAAGATTTTTAGTTTTGCAAAGTATACGAATATTTTATTTTCAATTCTTTAGATTTTCCTTTTTTTCCTTATCTGTGTGTTTATTTATATTATATATAAATTTTTCCATTTTGTCCAATTTTTCCATTTTTTCCATTTTGTTTTCCTGTGTTTTTAAGGCAATAGCCTGTTTTTTTTAAAAAGTCTGACGATGTTTATATATAAAATGTAAAATGATATATTTTATGGATTTAGGAGGTAATCAAGATAAAAAGTTTTTCAAACAAAATTTACTAATTTTGTTTTAGGTATAATATCAGCTATTACTTAACATAGTATTAACATCTATTTTTTTTAAAAACAAAAAAAAACAATATGACACTTATGCTATGTACCATTGGAATCACTTTCAGCAAATAATAACGTTGTTCTTGGGGACATTGTTTGTAGGAAGGTCTACTGCAGTAATAATTTAAAGGGGACATAGTTTGTAACAAGGTGTACTATTACAGTTAACTATATGTTATAATATAAGTATTAAGATAAGTTACCCCAAATATTATAAGTATGAAGTAGATATAATTTAATAGAGCATAAACGCATCTTGCAATGTGTTTATGCTCTATTAAATTTTATTTATTTTTTGTTTGGGGGTTGTGCATAAATTATGTCACGCTATTAGGGGAGGAAGGTTTGGTGGTTTTGTGACGAACTTGCTTCTTAAGTGTTATAACTTTGTGACTAGAGGGGGAGGTCAAAAACGGTTGAAAATTGTGTGACAATTTATGGACAACGCCTTTTTGAAATTTTATATTGTTAGTCCTACAAAGCATCATATTTGTTTCAGGGCTAGTTTATACCATATATATATATATATATATATATATATATATATATATATATATATATATATATATATATATATATATATATATATATATATATATATATATATATATATATATATATATATATATATATATATATATATATATATTTATATATATATAATTTGCCAATTACAATTACATGATTTTATATTTGGATCAGTGAAATTACAATTACAAATGTGTCGCATAATTTCCATTACAATTACAATTTCAATTACAATAACTGTTGGTAAGAAAACAGTTACAACAAGTCACGTTTGCTGTGCTGCTTTATTTAATGCCAAAGTTATTGATATTAGAAAACAGTCAGTATAAATTCTTGTTACATTTTCTGAACATCAAAGTCTCAAATTTGTCGACCTTGAGTCTGGTTCTTTCTGCACAATAGGTCTTGCCCGCAATACTGAAAATTCTTTCTACTGGTGCAGATGATGCTGGAATAGATAGCAGAGCACTTGCTGCTTGAGCTGCATGTGGAAACAAATCCTTATTTGAAGTCCACCATACAAGAGGCTCAGATTCATACTCCTGTAATGGAGCCTTCACATAATCATTCAGCTCATGTCTAAGTTTTAGCAACTTTCTGTATCTCTTCAACAAGCTTTCTGTATCTCTTATTCTTGTTGACCTGAACTCTCCATAAAACTAAAGAGATTAACTTTCAGTTTCTTATTGTTTGGTTCCTCCTGTGACCCTTGATCAGGAGTTTGTGCAGGTGCAGGTGGTAGTACAAGTACTGATAGAGACTGCCGAGTCAAGCTGATTACATTTACAGTGCAGAATTTTTGCATTTCTAATACTACGGTATTTTTGCAGTCTTCTACTTCATTTCGCATGCACCAATGCAACTTGAATTGAGGATCCAGTACTGCTCCTGTTATGTATAAGACATTAGTCTCATATTTACGGAGACGAGCATTGATAGATAACAAAAGATCAGTGATCAGTTGCTTGCAATAAACAGAATGAATTGATTCTAGTTTAAAACTTAAACCGCGTATACTAGGAAGAACATTGTACATTGTTACTCTGTCTTCACCCTGAACACTGTTGGTCGCTTCTTCAAATGGCATTACTTCAACGTATTCTTTCAGTAATGTGCGCTCAAAGGTGGTCAATGTTCTGCTTGTCACAGGTCCCAAAAGACCTCTAACTGCTTCTTTCAGTTTATCTTCTGGTACTTTCAAAACTGACCGCACTATTTTCAATTGAGAGTTCCACCTGGTTACATTAGCTGACCTGAGATTGTAATCCATGTTGTATAGAATTTCACTGGAAACTGTAGACTTACGAACAAAGTTTACTATTAATGCAACCTTGCCAATAGCATTTTCAACTTGCCTACAATTTTTCATACCGTCTTTAATAACCAATTGTAGTGTATGAGCGAAGCAGACAAGTCTATCTGGTATACAGCTCAGCAGCTCATCTGTAGTGTCTTCATTGATTGCTTCTGCATCTGCATTAAATAATCCATCTTCTGCATCACTTTCAATGTCATTATCATTAGCAGGATCAATTGAATTAGTTGATTTATTTTCTTGCTGCTGCTGCTGCTGCATAAACTGTGGTAGTATCACTTCAAAAGCTTTTGTCATGTTTCATGCACTGTTGGTAACAACATGAGATACTTTGTTCCTTAAGTGAAATGTTTCAATTACTTCGTCAAAGTTGTTTACAATATTCTCACTGGTATGACGGCCTAAAAATTCTTTACATGACAGCAACCCACATTTGAGTTTCCAGTTTCTAATGTACAGTATCGGGCAAAACAAGTGCAACCAAATAATGCTAATTTAGTTTCTTTATATAAAAGTGCTGCATTTTTTCAATTTAGAGAAATAACTATGTAACTATTTAGAGACAACATTCTTCAAGTTTTATTCATCACAAGGTTCATTATTTGTACACGAAAAATAATAAATTAATCAAAAGTATTAAAAAAAGTTGATTTTCTTCTGGACAAAACAAGTGCAACTTCACAAAATGTTGACCAAGCTGTATTTCGTTATCAATATTTTGTGGCAAATCCTTTGTTGTCGATCACAGCCTTGCATCTTCGAGGCATAGATTCGATCAAGTGATCAATGAAACTTTGTGGAATCGCTGCCCAGGGTTTTGGATTTGTTCAAACAGTTGATCCTTATGAACATCCTTTGGAACATAGTTTTGATACGGTCCATTTTTTCACGTGATATTTATCACAAATACTTTTTTGTGATATTCCACTTGCGTAATCGCCAATAATTTTCTTTCTTAGTTCCAATCCAAGACTGGTGGGAGCCATTTTTGCACTTGAAATCATAAAAACCATAAAAATAAATAATCACGCTTCTCAAGGTTTACCGTGTTACATTTACCTTGTGATGATACAATAATGTTCTGTGAAACATGTCTTGTTTGGGTGTGGACTGTGTTGATGTAATGAAACACTTGTTTTATTTCTTTTCTCGTATTGATGTTTTTCCATAAAGCACTTATATACTCGTATTGATGTTCTTTGATAAAACTCACTTCGATAAACTGTCTTGATAATACTGGCTGATTGACTTCCATATACTGACTGAATTACATGTCGGTTTACATGTCTCTTATATAGTAAAATGAACCTGTGTGAACCTGTTCTGGAAGGTTCTAAATGCTTCTTTTCGATGCTTCTAGAAGCTTCTGGATGCGCCTGGATGCTTCTGAATGTTTCTGGTTATTTCTGGATGCTTCCAAATGCTTCTTCTGGAAACTTCTGGAAGCTTCTGCATGCTTCTGGAAACTTTTTGAAACTTCTGGATATTTCCTTTAATTATTAAAAAACTTCCGTGACGTTGACACGGACCAGACTTAATAAAATGAAACAAACCAAAAAAGTTGCACTTGTTTTGTCCGCTGCAAAATAGCACTTGTCAACAAAATTCTGCCTGTGTTCTGTCAGCTGATTGCTCATGGCATGCTATGACTCCAGACTCCTGAACTGTTTGCTGGGGTAGTATAGTTCGTTTTGTTTTTAAGACATGTAAAATCAGGAACATGATGCATATATATGTATATATATGTATATGTATATATATATATATATATATATATATATATATATATATATTTATATATATATATATATAAATATATATATATATATATATATATATATATATATATACATACATATATATAGATATATAGATAAATATATGTATATATATATATATATATATATATATATATATATATATATATATATATATATATATATATGTATGTATATAAATACTTATGCATATGTATATGCAGCCCTCGAAATTAATATATATATATACATATATATATATATTTATATATATATATATATGCATATATATATATGTATATAAGTACGTATGCATATATATACAGCCCTCGAAATTAGAAAAAATGAGGTCGGCAATAAATTTGCTTATATATATAAATATATATATACATATATACATATATATATATATATATATATATATATATATATATATATATATATATATATATATATATATATATATATATATATATATATATATATATGCATATATATATATGCATATATATATACAACCTTCGAATTTAGAAAAAATGAGGTCGGCAATAATTTGCTGACCTTAATCTGTAAAAGGTTGGCATCATTTTGGGAAAAAATATTTGATACAAATGTTTTGCCATAAAACGTAGAGACAATCTTGGTTTGAGTCGGTTAACAAGGTCAGTTAACCTTAACTTTAATCTTGCCAACCTCAAACTCTTGCCTATACAACCTAAATGCCTAGGTTGGTATTTAGGGCAGTATATATACAGAACTTACACATTATTATAATAAAGTTTTTTATTTTTTTTCTAAAAAATTAAACCGCACATTTTAAGTGTTGAAGCGCAAAAAATATTTAGGAAACTACGTCCTTAGGTATTAATTGTTCGTATATATATATATATATATATATATATATATATATATATATATATATATATATATATATATATATATATATATATATATATATATATATATATATATATATATATGTATGTATGTATGTATATATATATATATATATATATATATATATATATATATATATATATATATATATATATATATATATATATATATATATATATTTATACGAACAATTAATACCTAAGGGCGTAATTTCCTAAACATTTTTATAATTTTTCTGACATTTTTATTTCAATAAGTTTTTTATAATAGATTTATCATTTTTGAAATTTTCATATGTTTTCTCTCCATTTGAGAATTCATTATATATTTTTTTCTCAATATACACTACCACATACCTATCGAATTCAATGTCATTCTCAGGATCTTCTGGAAAATCATTAGTTCTTAGAAAAGTTTTCAGATCTTTTTATTCTGTTTTTGTTCTGTTTTTGTTGCGTTTTTTTCTGTTTTTTTAATCGTTTATGGTTTTCTGACTTGACTTTCTGCCTATTAGTTTTGTATATATTTTGATGAACACATAAAGATTCTCTCACAGGAGTATCTGTTTTTCTTTTTCAAGCTTTAGAAATCAGTTATATAATAGCAGGAGTAATGTTTGATGAAATATGAATCAGTGAATGTTAAAAGGGCATAAGTCACTTATTTTGCAAAGTTGTAGATTCAAAAGATAGCACCATCATTTTGTGTTAAATAGGTGTCTGTCAAAAATTTTCTCTTATATATATCTCTAGCCTGTGCAGTGTCTAAAAGTTTGGGTTTTAACAAAAAACAAGAAACTTTGCGCTGATCAGCAGACCAAACGTAACCTTACTTTGCTGATCGTGCAACAGTGTGGTGAATAAAGTTGATTTACTATGTTTGATCATTTTAATAGTGATTCAAGTTGATTAACTTCTTTTTTAAATGGTTGATAGTGTTAGCGAGTCTGATCATACAAATTATAAAAAAAAGATAAGAAACCCAGATTATTATGAAAGGAACAAGATTAAGAAATCTAGGCTTACTGGTGTGGCATATGAAAACCACAGGGGACAAAAAGTTGGTGCAAAGTCTATCGGAGATCCATTCAGGTAAGAGATAATACGCAATATTTCTTAAATTAATAATGTCTATGCCATATTGTAATAACTTGTCTAAAATTTGGTCAGATTTAGGCTCTGTAATTTATAGTTGGCCTATAGACTTTGTTGATTTTTGTTTAGGTTGTAAATATTTGTAGGCTTAAGACAATAGAATTTTTTCAGTTGTTCAAGAAAGTGTTTTGAATCTATTGGCAAAGACAACCTCGATGATGCATTTATAAACTTCTACAGCCAGTTCAATACAAAAGATATTTTGTATTGGATTTATTTTTACATGGCAGGATTTATTTTTACATGGCTTGATTGATGTTATGGATATTGTGAGGAAGAGGTCTGGTTTAAGAAATAGCAAGGGAAAAAGTCGTGATGCTAATGAAGATACTGTATGAAAAAGAAAAAGTAACGGCGGAAACAAAAAGGAGTTTAAGTATCATGTTTTGGTCGGAGATGAACAAGTACAGATATGCGTTGTGGCATTTTTATCAATATTTTCTGTGTCAGAAAAGAGGGTTCAAAGAGTAAGGGGTTTAAAAATGGATGGAAAAGCAGTTATAGATTTGAGAGGAGTACATACGAGTTACATTACCAGTCATGATATACTAGCTAAGGTATACGCTTACATAGACTCCTTTCCAAAAAAACTAATCCACTATGGCGGGAAGGAAAGGTATTTTTTGAGTAAAGATTAAACGTGAAGTTAATGTATGAACTATTTATGAAATAAAATGAAGGGGTAAAGTTCAGTTACAAGTTCTATTATAACTACTACAATAAGCACTTTCAAAATAAAAACTATTGCTTTTCAAAATTATTTATGGTGCTTACTGACATAAAGTGGATTAAAAAGATCAATAAATTTTTCCCAATCAGAAGGCACAGCTTTTTGCCCTGTGACCGTGACATTTCGATTATAAAAAGAGAGTTAAGAAGGCATGACAGAGTATACAGCGTCCAAGAAATAAAAAAAGTTATATTAAAAAGTAATAATTAAAGAAAGTTTTTAGTGGTTGATGCAGAGAGTTCATCTCTAGTTTACGATATTAAAAGTTGGTGGCCAGTCCACTAAATAACGTTACTATAAAAGAAATGTTACTATAAAATAAACGTTACCTCAATTGAAACAATGGGTAAACCCAGAAACCAACAAACTCAGTTTGCAATAAGCAAATTTCACCATTTTCAATACGATTATGACAACATAGGTCAATGTAAAGCCAGTGAAAATTATCAATGGCATTGTCAAACATACTTTTATGATGAGAAAAAGTACTCAAAAAGAGAACATGCCAGAACAGCTTCCTTACCCAAACGGAAAAGTTCCAATAAAATCTGCCAGGTTGAATGACAAATTGAAAGTGTATTAAGTATATCCCACATGATCATATTAGCTTTTATAAGGAACTACTGCAATGGTCTACAGCAGAAAGATGATGGAGAAGCAGAAGATCCTGGGGAAAATGATTAAGCATAGCTAATAAAATTTCTGTAATAGACCTTTTTTTTCTTATAATTTTTCTTAAAATGTATAAATAATTCATAAATATACACTTTGTGGAGATTTATTACGGTTTGTGACATTATTTTTTATAGCCCAAAGTTAAAATCATAATAAAATAAGCAGTAATTATATGTTGAATGATAAAAGGGCTGAAGTCCACATTGTTAATTGGTTTATAAGTTCTTTAAAAATAAATATAAAAAAATATATTTTTGCTTTTAAGATGAAAAACATTATCCCCATCAAAACCATTAATGAAAATTTACTTAGAAAGCAGTGCTGTTTTTTTTAGTTTCCCGAAAGTTAACATTGTTGGACTTTCGCCCTTTTAACATTCACTGATACATATTATATAATTCATTTGTGATTGCAAATTCAATTTTGCCGCAACTGTTTTGGACAATAGTTTGCTGTTTCATTGAAGCAGTTGACCATTTGTAAATGGTCAACTGTCTTATTGAAGCTTGTCCATAAGTAGAAGTTGATTGGGATTTTTTCAAGTTTTGCCAATAGGTGACTTTTCAGGATACACAGCTATTGGTAAAACTAACAAGTTTGATATTTTTTTTACTATCTATTTTTAAACAACATTTAGCTCTTTTTTTTTTAAAAAGTTTTTTTCAGATTGTAATAACATAGTTTACACACAGACACACACAAAATTTACACACAGATACACATATACATATATGTGTGTGTTTGTGTTTATGAGCATCAAGTTATTTTATCATATCTCTTACTTTTGACATTCAGTTTTGCCATAAGCAAAAGAATTTACAAAATTAATTAATTTATTATTATGTTAGGATGATTTGAGTGAGTAATATTTTGTACGTACATTTTGTATTAACCTAGCAAACATTGCACATCTTGCATTGAGCTAGAAAAGACACTATTACATTGACCTGACAAATACACTATTACAATGACCTGGCAAACATTTAGTCTTAAGTGTACACTTATTATTTAACGAGTTGCAAAATTATATCAATTTAGGTTTCTTTTATATAGCAAACCAAACTCATTATCAATTATTACCTTTGTCAAATTTTGGTAATAATGTTTTTGAGGCCAAACTAGCATCAAACAACAGATATTATTAACACCAAACAACTGATAGTATTTACATCATGCTAACACCATACAATAGGTACCATTAACACTAAACAAGGTATATTTTTAACACCAAATAAAGAAAATTATTAACACCAAAGAACAGGTATTTTAACACTAAACTAATACCAAGCAACAGAAGTGCTACTAACACCAAATCATGACCAAAGAACCGAAATAATAAAAAAATCAGAAAAAAAGAATTAAAAAGTTTACAATAGTATACTGTTAAACAAAAATTATTAAACAAATATATATATATATATATATATATATATATATATATATATATATATATATATATATATATATATATATATATATATATATATATATATATATATATATATATATATATATAATATATATATATATATGAATAAAGCAAAAATATTGTAACTGATTGAATAAAAACTGATGTGAATAAAGCAAACACTGAAACTGATGTGAATATCTAAAAACTGAAAAAACTGTTGTGACTATCTGAAACTGAAAACTGAAACTGTGAATTTCTGAAACTGAAACTGAAACTGATGTGAATATCTGAAAACTGAAACTGATGTGAATAAAGCAAAAATATTGTAACTGATTGCTAAAAAATGTAGATCTTATTGTAAAATTATAGTAAAATACAATATCTAAATCTGTTTTGTATTCATGCACACGCCTAGGTTTATAAATGGTTGCGATCTTTATCTGAAGAAGTATATGAAAGATTGGAAAAAGAAAAAGTTTTGGTAACTCATTTTTAGAAAGTTTTTTTTTTCCATTTAGAAAAATGAAATGCTTTTTAGTCAAATTTTTATTGTCAAAAATTGTTGAAATTTATATAACTTTTTAGAATCAGCGCTTTGCATCTTTAATAACTGTGGGTTGCGTGAACAGTTTTAAAATTAGCCAATCACGACGCTGTTCTCAAATTAAAAATACAATAAATGATATTGCAGATGAGTCCTTTCGTGCTCTTTCTGAATTTAACCAAAGTACTAATGAAACTGACTGGTATACGTAATATTTATATACTGTAACATATGATGCCTAAATTTTCAGACAATGTTCTATTTAGTATACTGTACTGTACGTGACGTTGCTAGTTCGCATTTTGCAAATGATGTCATCAACTTCCTGGATTCGCAAAATATCAATAATATTCCAAAATTTAAAAATCCTCAAAATGTACCAGAAACTCGAAATATTGAGGCCTATCGAGTAAATTTTACGAAGTATTTTCTATTTGCTCCAAATTGCCTATTTATTCAAACCAAACTGACAAACAAAACATTTGTCTGAAATTTTAGGCATATATGTCGTTATTATTTTTATTATTATTTTTTGTAGCTTTTTTCGTTAACGTATACTATTGTTTTATTATTTAAAGGCATCCTCCTATTATTAATCTGCATTTGACTGCCACAAAATTTCAGACGATGGTGTCTGCAAATAAATCCATTGATACTTACATGACGCATGATTTTACTGGGGCTGTTGATGACCTTATAAAAATAAACTTGCCTTCAGTTAAACCAAAAAATAAGTTAAAAAGCAATATATCGAACTTTTTTTCTGTTGCCGATAGAAGTGAGTCCAATAAACCATTAAGCGATGAAAAGCAGTTTCTCGTAAATAAAATGATTACCCCTTCTGTGAAGTTAAAAGATACAAAGAAATTTGAATATTGGAATAAGTTTTTAACATCAAGGAAATCAAATGAAATGATATTAGATGAATGTTCTGAGAAACATATTGACAGTTCAAGTATCGGTAAACAGCATAGTTCAACAGAATTAAATTATGATTCAATAAACACAAAACACGATTCAACTGAACGAAAACGTGGTTTATCAGAACCAAAGTTTAAATCAGCAGAAGCGATTCTCAGTTCAGAAAAATCAAAACATTTTTCTAACGATGTAAAAAGCAATCTTTTGCACTCCGATTCTATAACTAAATCGTTGTCGTTTTTTTCTAAATTTTGTCAATCAGCCGCTGATGTTCAAGTTGAAGCAACACACGGTCAAAAAGAAATTTACTCTCAAAAAAACCAATCACCAAAAAATAATATTTATTCCGATTCTGAAACATATAAAAATGAAAGAAAGAAAACCTTTGACACAAATTTACAGGCAAATAAATCTCTCCAAGTTACTAAGGCTGAATTTGGAATAACCGAAGAAAACAATACTGTATCCGTTGATGATATTATGGTTTGCGAAAAATGTGAAAAACAGGTTATTGCATGGAATCTCCCTGAACATATGGACTTTCATTATGCTAAAGAAGTTCAAGATTCTTTTAAAAATAATTTTTTAAATTTGTACAAACGCAAGGAATTTAACGGGCCTCCTAAAAAAAAGTTAAAACAAGATATTCAAAACTTTTTTTCGTGTAAGAAGTAACTACTGAAAAAACGTTTCCGTTAAGTTCGTTATTTACTATTCCCAATATAAAATTTCTCTAAATCAAATAAATAGTTATGTATTTTTTATTTATAAGTTTTATGAATTTAAAGATTATCTGTGTGTATTTAACTCTGTTTTGGGCCAAAATTAGATCAAACTGGTGATATAAACTATATATATATATATATATATATATATATATATATATATATATATATATATATATATATATATATATATATATATATATATATATATATATATATATATATTTATATAGGGTTAATTAGCTATCGCGGGAAATGAGTATAGATCCATCTTTATTAGTATTAGTACTTATATAAAAAAAAATCTAATTATTGATGCAAAACGTAATTTTATTATATTTTAAATAACCCGCAGAGAATCTCTTTTTCAATTTTAACGTTCTAAACTTTTTTATTGTTTAATGATATCTTGAGTTAAAAATCTTTGTGTTTGGTTTACTTTAAAAAATTGATTTCGGCTTTTAACAGCGTTTATTTAAATATAACACGTGTGGGGTACATTCGAAGTACCTAGCTAGGAAACATTCGACCGGTGCTTGAAAATATCACGATAATTTATTTCTATTATCTTTTAGATGCCTCAAAAATATGTAACGAAAACGTAGAAATAAAATGTCGCAAAAAGATTTTATGCTCAGATACGTCACAAATAGAAACCTAATGGGAGAACCAAGTGAAAGTTTAGGGGTAATACTATTACAAAATAATTACAAAATAAAAAGTTAGGGGTATACTATTACAAAATAATTTACCACCCTTATCTACCAATGAAACGCATTCCTCCTGCAACTACTAGAATTACTCTAAAATTAAAATAGTGACTGCACTTGTTCTGATTCCAGAACAATTGCGGCCTTTGCCCAAAGACAAAATAAATAAAGAGGAAATCAAGTCAACGATATATGCTAGCACTACTGAAAAGGAAAAGATTGAAAAACTTTATTTGAAAAAAATTAGAATAAAAAAAGAAAAGTCGTGCGACTCCAACAAAGACGGAAAGAACGGCAACATTATTTTTATTTCGATATTACTTCGCAAATCTTGTTGTAAAACAGCTATTACTATTTGTTTATAAATATTTTGCGTTAAGTTTTTATTGTACATCAAAACATTTGTAAGAAAGAAAGCTTATAGACTTATTATTTTGCTAATAATGATATGTTTGAAAGTACCGCTCTAGGTGGTCGAATGTACCCAACCGGTGGAGTAGATTCGACCACTTTGAGGCTTACTTTTAAAACAGTGGTAGATTTAACAAAAATCAATATTTTATATACAATATCTTTTTAATTTGTTGGTTTAAGACCATTACTTGTAATGCTAAAAAAATTTAAATGTTTTCGGTAAAAAATCATTTGTAAATTAATAAAACCAGCTAAGTGGTCGAATATATATATATAAATATATATATATATATATATATAAATATATATATATATATATATATATATATATATATATATATATATATATATATATATATATATATATATATATATATATATATATATATATATATATATATATATATATATATAGTTAATTTATATATATATATATATATATATATATATATATATATATATATATATATATATATATATATATATATATAGTTAATTTATATATATATGTATATATATATATATATATATATATATATATATATATATATATATATATATATATATATATATATATATATATATATATATATATATATATATATATATATATATATATATAGTTAATTTATATATATATAGTTAATTTATATATATATATATATATATATATATATATATATATATATATATATATATATATATAGTTAATTTATATATAGTTATATATATATATATATATATATATATATATATATATATATATATATATATATATAGTTAATTTATATATATATATATATATATATATATATATATATATATATAATATATATATATATATATATATATATAGTTAATTTATATATATATATATATATATATATATATATATATATATATATATATATATATATATATATATATATATATATATATATATATATATATATAGTATATATATAAGGACAAAAGACATGTAAAAACGCCACTTTTCGACAGTTTAGCCATAAATACTATTTTTTTAAATACGTAAATAATGGCATTAAAAATAAACAAAGATTAAAATTTTACTGACCTTGAATAATTTATAATTAGTTAAGTAATTGAGGATCCCAAACTTTCCTTGAAGCTGTCAAATATGGAAAAAAATTTTAAGCCATCAATTAGGTGTATGAACTAAAAAAAACAGGTCTTAACATAAAATACTTTTTCCAAATCGAATCGAAAAAAATCTCCCTCATCGATGCAAATGAAAGTTTACTTCGAGCAATCCAAAAATACAAATTTCCAATTTTTGAATTTATGGAAGAGGTAGGGTCCCTTACAAATATTTAAAAATACTATTAAAGTTATTTTTGTTGCTTAGTTAATATAATTTTAGATTTTATTTTTTAATAAACATGATGGAATTGATCAATCATGAAGCATGCGATCGTTAAATACGGAATGATAAATTTCGTTTTTAAAAATGTCACTAGAAGAAAGTGAGCCTCTAAGGTGAGATGGGCCCCCATTTAATCTCTTGCTTGGGAAATAATTATTACAAATTTAACTGAATATTGGGCAGCTGACTTAAACGAATATTAGGCAGCTGACTTAAAAATTTAAAAAAACCATCCGAAAAATAGTTTCTTTCATTGTTATTTTTTCAGCAAAAAAAATATTTGGAAGTAAATTTTATTGGGCTAAATATTTTTTAGTTTGAATATAATTGAAGTTAATGTCAATTTTTCTTTACTCGGAGTTTCAATTTTTAATGCGAATAATAGACAAATAGTTATATATCATCTACAAATCAGTTACAGTATTGGACAAAACATTTGCAACCAACATCGAACAATCCTAAAAAGTTATCTTAATTTTACATGTCTTAAAAACGAAACGAACTATACTACCACAGCAAACAGTTCAGGTGTCTAGAGTCATAGCATGCCATGACATGAGCAATCAGCTGACATGTGACAGAACACAGGCAGAATTTTGTTGACAGTGCTATTTTGCAGCGGACAAAACAAGTGCAACTTTTTTGGTTTGTTTTATTTTATTAAGTCTGGTCCGTGTCAACGTCACGGAAGTTTTTTAATAATTAAAGGAAGTATTCAGAAGTTTCCAGAAGTTCCCAGAAGCATGCAGAAGCTTCCAAAAGTTTCCAGAAGAAGCATCTGGAAGCATCCAGAAGTATCCAGAAATGTTCAGAAGCATCTAAGCGCATCCAGAAGCTTCCAGAAGCATCAAAAAGAAGCATCTAGAACCTTCCAGAACAGGTTCACACAGGTTAATTTTACTATATAAGAGACATGTAATTCAGTAGGTAAACCGACATGTAGTTCAGTCAGTATACGGAAGTCAATCAGCCAGTATTATCAAGACAGTTTATCGAAGTGAGTTTTATCAAAGTGTTTTATCGAAGAACATTAATACAAGAAGTGAAATACAACAAGTGTTTCATAACATCAATACAATCCACATCCAACCAAAACGTTGTGTTCCACAGAGCATTATTGTATCACCTCAAGCTAAACGTAACACGGTAAGCCTTAAGAAGCGTGATTATTTATATCATTATTTTTATGACTTCAAGTAAAAAAATGGCTCCCAATAGTTTTAGATTGGAACTATGAAAGAAAATTATTGGCGATTACATAAGTGAATGTCATAAAAAAGTATTTGTGATGAATATCGCGTGAAAAAATGGACCGTATCAAGGCTATGTTCTAAATATCGTTTTACAAAGAAACTGGCAACAGATAACAAAAGTGGGAGACCGCGTTTCACCATTTCTAGAGAGAATTCTACGATCGTCAGATCCATCAAGAAGGATCCCTGGATATCATCAATTGAGATTCAAAAGCAATTAAAGCTGCCTGTATCGGAACGAACAATCAGACGACGTGCTATTGAAGCCGGATTGTTTTCTCGACGCCCAGCAAAGAAACCACTAATTTTACTAAAGAAACAGGAGAAAAGACTCCTGTTTGCTACATCTCATATTGACTGGAATGTGCAGAAATGGCGAACTGTCCTGTTCAAAGTTCAACATCATTGGGAGCGATGGCATTTGCCGTGTACGTCGACCGGCCGGAAAACGCCTCAATTTACGTTACTACCATGAGACCGTGAAGCATGGTGGAGGCAATGCAATGAATTGGGGTTGTTTTTCTGCTAACGGTCTAGGTCCAATACATCGAAACGATGGAATAATGGACCGTTATGTGTATAGAAATATCCTGAAAGATGTTATGTTACCTCATGGTGAATGGAATATGCCAATAATATGGATTTTTCAGCAAGACAACGATCCAAAACACACTGCAAAAGAGTTCAAGCAGTGGATTCAAGACAACCACCTATTGGTGATGGATTGGCCGCCTCAATCTCCGGATCTCAATCTTATCGAGAACCTGTGGGAGATCGTCAACCACAAAATTAATCGTGAAGGTGTTTGTAATAAGGATCAACTGTTTGAACAAATCTAAAAAGGTCTGGGCAGCGATTCCACAAAGTTTCATTGATCACCTAATTGAATCTATGCCTCGAAAATGCAAGGCTGTGATTGACAACAAAGTATTCGTCACAAAATATTGATAGCAAAATACAGCTTGTTCAACATTTTGTGGAGTTGCACTTGTTTTGTCCAAAAGGAAATCAACTTTTTTTAATACTTTTGATTAATTTATAAATTTTCGTGTACAAATAATGAACTTTGTGATGAATAAATCTTGAAAAACGTTGTCTCTAAATAGTTACATAGCTATTTCTCTAAACTGAAAAAATGCAGCACTTTTATATAAAGAAACTAATTTAGCATTATTTGGTTGCACTTGTTTAGTCCGATACTATATAGTCAGTTTTTGATTAATAATCAGGTTTTATTAAGAAATTAAATTAAAGGGTTCATTTTAGACTACTTTCGCGGTAAGTTGGGTTTCTAGCATTTTTA